TTTGTCAAAATTAAATCGCCTGAGACAACTGAAAAGCGGAGTTTCCTTCTTTCATTCTGCCGGGTAAAATCAATTACTTTAGGCGACGTTTGTAGACTAACCTACTCGTACCAACATCGGCATATCGCGACGCTGGAGTACTATTCAGCGTTTTTACTATATTTCTAGGTTTCCTATTTCTACGTTTAATCGGCTCATGTCTCAGCCACAATATTTTGAGGACAATATTATTTACGAACCCAGTTAAACTTATTTACTAGCCTATTTCAACGTGCTAATTATTACATTTAGACGACGCTTGTTGTAGACTGGCATAGTGTTTGCGGAAATAAATACCATTTTATACACATGCGCAGATCGATTCGCCAGCAGCAAGTCATCGCCAGCAGCAGCGAGCCATCGCCAGCAGAGAGATGTCACTGCAGCAAAACACTATTGTACCAACGCTGTTCTAATAATATATACAATGGGTCGTGCTCATATTATTTGTTATATTTTTATTATTCATTATTTTCACTTGACTCGCATAAATAATTTTGTTCGAAGAACATTTTATGCAGTTGTACTTCGCAGCACTTCACTTGCAATTTGTAATTTCTAGTTTATAAGATTGATTTCATACTCTGAATGTCAGAAATTGCTGAAGATCAAATCTCATATTTGTTGTTAATTATCCAACGTAACACAGCTATGAATCAATCAGTTCCTTTAACCATATGACAAATGATGGAAGCCATGGGAACAACATGGATGACAGCATTGTTTGTGTGTGGTAAATTCCAAAGTCTATAATTCTTCTTAAACTACAGTAAGAAACAGTATGTGCATGTATGTATTTTTTTTTTTTTTTATTGTGCATGAAAAAATACAAGATGATTTTATCTATGGTGACAATGTTGATGCCAGAAATTATATTCTGTTAGAAATTCCTTGTCGTGTAGGTCTACAGATTGTACCTAACATAATCATTGTGAACATTAATAATGATAATAAGGCCAAATAAAATTAATTGATAGTTCCGCCTCCCCTCCCTCATCAAATTTTGGAGCCTCATGAAAAAATTTACTGTTTACTTATTTTCAAAAAATTATTCATTTTTCCATGGACAATAAAAATAATGACTAGCTGAAAGAATAATGCCAAGCCTAAGAAGAGGTGGGAATATAAATTGCAGAAATACATAACAAAGATTCATTTTACATCTTTCATAAAAAAAAAAAGCTACTGATATTTTTACTATTTACCAGCTAGTTTACCATTAGTTATAGCCACTCTCCCAAACTATGGGTCGCGACCCAAAAGTGGGTCGCCAAACTTCTACGATGGATCGCAAGCAGGTTTGCAAAAACCAATTCAATGTATGTGCTTATTTTCAGATAGTTGATTTGAAGTTTAACAGGTCTGATGACTTAAAAACACCATTTTTTGGTGCATCGATCCTCATTAGAACAATATTAAACCTCATTAGAATAATATTTAATCAGCCCAACGATCTTGGGACTGAGGTGGATGGACCCTCTATTTGTGAAAATCCCTCTATTACGAATTTGTGTATATGCCATTGTTTTCTCTAAAGAATGATCATTAGTAAACAAAAATCGCTGTAATACTAACGTCAAATAGTCATTTTTTAAAACACATTAATATTCAGTGGCGGGTATAGGGAGGGGGAATTTTCACTCTGGTGTCGTCTTTTATACAAATACTAAATGAAAGTGTAAATTGACTACTACAATATTAGTAGATCTATACTATTATGCTTCATACAAACATGACTTCATACAGTAATATGAGTTTTAATGTTCAATATTAAAGTGTAACAACACACCTCACGACCACAACAGCTCTCACTGACAAAGCTCAAGCGTTATAGATAGAAATCTTTCTTTATTCTTAATACTTAGTTTAACTGTTCTTCCTTAAGGTCTAGTTAAAAACAGTGAAAATTGATATACTGTACTGTACACAAGAAGCAAAAAGAAACTGTTTTAAATATCAATTTTTTGAAGGAAGTTAAAGATTTTAATGAAATGCTTGTATCTGGGGAAAGAATGTTCAAAAAGGTGAACTGAGCGTTATTTGAATGTTTTTTCCCGGATTTGTTGTCTTTGTCAAGTGGGCTGTTATTTCAGCCTCGGTGTTCAATGTTCTCATAAAAAGTATAATAAAACATTAAATATATTTTTGCCAATCAAAATTATCTCATACCTGAAACATGCAGGAGAACCATCTGAAACAATTTCCAATTGTTTTGATATTTTAAACAGGAACAATAAAATTTTACAATTTGAATTGCTTACAGTATGCCTGTAATTGAGGAAGTTATAATACAGGTAAACAGATTATAAAATTTTGATTATGGAATTACTTTTCCCTGTAGTTACTAAAGTAAAAGACACAAAAAATACTGATTTTATTTTGTTTCAATAAGACCCTTAAACTTTAGATAGTATAATACATACTCCACGTATCGAAATGCACGTCATCGTGTCGGGATTCAATATTTCGACATTAATTATGTGATCATCAGGAAACTTGGTAAATGAGTTTTAGGATTTTAAAAGTTGAAGGTGTGTAAATCAGTAAGAGCTGAATTGTTCTGTTCTAGCTATAAATTTTTTGTTAATGTGATGCTCAGAAAAGGTAACACCTACAGTAGTCCAGGCAAAGGAAACCTGGTTGACCATAATACCCTCACCTCAGCCCCTGCATACAGCCATCGCCTTGATTTGAATGGTAAACTCGCCTTTAGTGGTGGAACAAGTCTTCTCGGATAAGTACTATAAACCGTACAGTAGACACAGTGTACACAATTTCAGGTCGTATGCACTTTAAAGATGGGGTACTGGTCTATACAGCCTCGTTTTGGACAGACGAGAGTAGCTGGTACCAGTTTACCATGCAGCTCAGACACAACCCTTTTAGGGAAGCAAGTTACCATACAATCTACAGTAGTTCACACTACAAGCGCTTCAATCTAACTACATTTTAAAATTTTCACAATTAGGCAGTACAAGTTTTTCACATACAGTACCTGAGAGACCCTCACTGGAATTCAAATAAATCCATCAATCCTAATGAAGAGTTTTTGTTAACGTTTTGTATAGTAAACCTCTTCTTGAGGCATTTTCACGGTTAAGTAAATTATGAAAATTGTACTTGAATTCTGAACTTTAATGTTGTATGTATTTGATACATACAACAACGTCTTTGAGTATTTTTGACATTACTTATTTATATAAAAAAAAAAAACTGCCTGCAATTTCTATTCGTTGTATAAAAAAAAATGTAAAATGAAGAAACACAAGATAACACCATACTGTATAGTACTTGTCCTTTGTATTCCACTACATATTTTCTTGAAAACCTTAGTATTAAAAGTGCTTTTAAAAACTGGTAGTGAAGTAACTGATGAAACTGGAATGAACATTGAGGTAAAAAGAGGTATACAGTATTTGTTGAAATTGAAATATTCAATGAATCTGCTAGACTAATGCAATAGTGTATAGAATGGCACTTTCATTCAGGTGACGTACAGAACAATACTAATTTTCCTAGACAAAAAGAGTGTTTGACGAAAAAAATGGGAATGGTTAATGAGATACAGATTTTTAAATATTAAAAAGCTGTGGCAAAAAGAGGCTTACCACCATTTTTCACCATGTTTTTAAATATTCAAAAATCTGTATCCCATTAACCATTTTTTTTTTTTTTTTTTTGCCAAACACCATTTTTATGTCTTTGAAAAATCAGTTGTACAACTTATCAAATTTTTTCTTCCGGAGCCAGCTGGCTTAAATTAAGTGAATCAGGGTATAGCAAAGCTAATATAAAAATCAACAATTTACGAAAATAGGACTTCAGGCGAGTGGGTGGCTTTTGATATGTTCGCTGCTTCTTGTGCCGTAAAGTACAGTAGACCTGAGTTGAAGCCACACTTGTGTAAGATCTTCTTTAAAGCCGGACACTCACTGTGTCGACGCAATGCAGTCTACTGATTGCCAGTGGCAACCTCAACGTATACTCATTAAAAAGACGATCTGTTAAGTCCGCATCTTCGTGTGCGTTGTTCGTCGTGTTGCCGTTGCACGCAGTGAGTGACTGGCTTAAGACAAATATAATTAAAACTACATAATGTCTATTGCTTCATGATTAAAGTATGTTCAACGAATGATCAAATAGTTTTTTTCTTTAACTATAAGTCGTCTTTTGAACTTTTTCTTTCCTTAGAAAAATCCACAGTGGATTCCGAAGAACCTTAACCAACGAGAATGCATCCACTACGTAGCACGACCACCTAAAAAAAATGATGAGTAAGGATCATATTATTTTATTGATATGATTTTATGTTTAGCAGAAAGCCAGTTGTATTTGATCAGATTTTTTTTTAACTTCATCTATCCCATTTTCATATGTTTTTGCGCATGGTTTTCTGTCTGCCACTTCAGTCACTTTCCGTGTGTGGATGTTATTCAAACTTTGTCCAAGCAAAGATTATATATCGAAGATGTGCATATTATTAAAACATGTCATTCTATATATTTTGAATATTAATAGATGGGTAAGTAAACTTTTAAGTTAACACAATTAATTTGAATTTTGTAAAGTATTGCAATCTAGCTACTGCTGGGTTAAATGCAAACTTCAGTGCAAGGCATTGAACAATTTATGCCCTTAGCAAGGTTCACAAACTACAATATACTGACCTCAGCAGGGTCAGATTGTACAGCCATGTTTAGAACTGTACAAATCTTTTAACCAAAACCATTGCAGTGCCTGTCTCTTATACACATCTAGATGTGTATAAGAGACAGTCCTTAAGGTCTAGTTAAAAACAGTGAAAATTGATATACTGTACTGTACACAAGAAGCAAAAAGAAACTGTTTTAAATATCAATTTTTTGAAGGAAGTTAAAGATTTTAATGAAATGCTTGTATCTGGGGAAAGAATGTTCAAAAAGGTGAACTGAGCGTTATTTGAATGTTTTTTCCCGGATTTGTTGTCTTTGTCAAGTGGGCTGTTATTTCAGCCTCGGTGTTCAATGTTCTCATAAAAAGTATAATAAAACATTAAATATATTTTTGCCAATCAAAATTATCTCATACCTGAAACATGCAGGAGAACCATCTGAAACAATTTCCAATTGTTTTGATATTTTAAACAGGAACAATAACATTTTACAATTTGAATTGCTTACAGTATGCCTGTAATTGAGGAAGTTATAATACAGGTAAACAGATTATAAAATTTTGATTATGGAATTACTTTTCCCTGTAGTTACTAAAGTAAAAGACACAAAAAATACTGATTTTATTTTGTTTCAATAATTCAAATTAAGCCTGAGAGTGCCATTTCCGACCAACTAGAGGTGCCATAATCATAAATTTTCTTGGAGAGTGTAGACCCTGTCTCTTATACACATCTAGATGTGTATAAGAGACAGATATATATACATGCATATAGTGTAAATGTAGCTTGATACTGGCCGCTTAGTAGGTATTTTTCTTGAGGGGGTATTCAAAAAAATCGTACAGTATACCACCCTTTACGTGAATCTTTTACTTTCTTTGTTCTGCTTTTTTTTTTAACCTTTATTCCATTAATCGTATTTTACACCTTCTGGTACCTTACAATGGTGTTGGATGATTCTAATAATTTCGAAAATCAGATCTATATAATATTTAAAACAATAAAATACTACAAAATTTATTTATACCAAAATGTTATCTAGCCCAAAGGATCCATCGTGTCATTGCGGAAATAAAAAATCGTCCCACGATAAACGTTACATCCGAGATGAGATCACGACCACGGAATGGAAGACGGAGTCAGATACACAAATTACGCAGACTACTGCTTATGGCGAAGTTGAATTTGTTGGAGCTATCGGCAGTTCTGCAACTCTTAAACAAAAAAAGGTTTGTTTTACAAATAAATTGTATTTTTTCATTCTATTTAATTATTTCTTAAGTCTAGGTTTATAAATTACAAGTGCATCAGTATAGTAATAAAGCATCAGGAGTTACAAAAACAAAAATCAGATTCGGTAGTGTAAAACTAAATGGATTTATTAAAAGCATAAATGTGTACACTAGAAATCATATTTTTCAGTAATACATAAGAAAAAAGGAAAAATACAGAAAATAAAATAAATGAAAAAATTAACAATTTATAGATTTCAAAACAGCCTAAACAATTCATATGATATGATGTAATATAAAGTGATCATTGATACATGTTTTATAAAGAAATGAAAAACTTAATAGCTGGTCATTTGAATGTGGAGTGAGTGTGGAGTTAAAGGTAGTATGGCAGGTAGTTTAGTGCATTTGAATTCAGCTTAATTGCTGGTCATTTGAATATGGAGTGAGTGTGGAGTTAAAGGTAGTATGGCAAGTAGTTTAGTGTATTTGAATATGGAGTGAGTGTGGAGTTTTTAAAAGGTACTGTAGTATGGCAAGTAGTTTAGTGCATTTGAATTCAATGAGAAAATGTTCTCAGATGGTGTCTCATGTACGGTGCTAGTGTGTAAGCAACACAACCAGGTTTATTATTGAATAGAAGAAAGAGTGGAGGTAATAGACAACAGTGCAGCATTGGTGTGTCGCTTGCTTGTTAGCTGTTACTTCTAGTGCCTTTCCTTCTCAGGAGGCAGTAGAGGCGAATCCAGAGATGTCCAAATGGGGGGAGGGCGATCAAGATAACACCTTCCTAGGAGTTGCGGGGGCATAATGAAATTTTTCCTTTTTCTTTCTTTCTTTTCTTTTCTTTTTTTTAAACTTTCCAAAAGGGGTGGGGCCAGCCTAACCCTCCTCTAAATCTGCCCATGCACAGGGTAGTTTAGGTGTATTTGCAGTAGTAAGCTCAAAAAGTTTTCTGACCCCAGAATAGGCCCCTCTTGCAAAAATTTGATGAGCAAAAAAAAGCACACTTTATTTAAAATTAATCTCATATCACCTCATTTCTCTTATTTCCATCACACCACTACCCCACTGATACACCATTTCAACACACTTAAATGGAAATAGCCCATAAGCATGGTTCGTAGACCTTCTAAGTTGAGCTAGATTCTCACCGTTCTATCATGTTATGACTGTTGATGAAAAACCAAGGTTATTTTTATTCAATTTAATTTAAATCACAGCTTTTAAATACCTGCTGCTGAATTGCACAATAATACAAAACAATGAACCATGAAAAAGTTTAAATATAATTAATTACAGAAATACATTTTCGAAAATAATGAATTTTTTTTTTTGTATTTAAAAATATCTATAAAAAAAATCGATCATTTACAATATATCAAAATGTAAAGAATGAAAATGAATGCAAATAATTTAAATAAAAAAAAGCATTGATAGAAAAACATGAACAAGAAACATTTAAAAATTTCATTGGAAATTGAATAACATTTAAAAAAATTAATTTAAAAATTAAAAAAATTAATAACTGAAAATAAGGGTATTATAATATAATTACTGTTTTTGCTGGGTTTTTTTTTCTGTTAAATAATGTGGTCTTTAGAGAGACACTGTCTAATTGTTGATTTTGTTAGCAAAGCTGTTTTTTTTTTAATAATAATTATAATAAATAAATGAAAACACTTCTTATGATAACTACATGTATATAGAAGTATTAATATTCATATAATAATAATTTTCTTAATCTACTGTAGTATGTTCGATTGGATCATCTGACACCCCCTTCTAAAGTTCTTGAACTTTTAAGGGACCACTGGAAGCTGGGGGTACCTAAACTTCTCATCTCCGTGACTGGTGGTGCCTTAAACTTCCACATGAACGCCAGGCTACGAGAAGTGTTTAGGAAAGGTCTGATCAAAGCAGCACTCAGCACAGGTACTGTATTATGCTGATTTAATTTCACTTAACTCATTGGATGTATAATTTATAAATCATGTGGCTTTGTTATGGGGAAAACATCTTCACTGGTGATAAATAAAGAAAATATATTTGAGAAAATGTATGTATCTCAATAGAAACTGCGGGTTTTCTCATATATTTATGATCTTCATTAAATATATACTGTTTTGTCATGAGCTAATAAATTCATTTCCATATTTGAATTGCCACATTAATAGTATTTGAAAAAAAAAGTTTAAGACAACTAATAATGAGACAAATTTTCTGTGTTCTTTTGCATAAACCCTTCTTTGTTAGTAAACATTTTAAGTATTTTTGTAGTAAAATGTCTGTAAATCAGTGAAAAATATATATTTTTTAATATGTTTGTGGTTGAAAGTTAAACTTATTCCATCCTTTAAAATGAGCTATTCAGATTTTTGAATTATTTTTTGAGGATTTTCCTGATTTTTTCCCCATGAGTACATCTTTAACTGCCAGCCAATTTGCGGTACCTGTATATATACTGTCTCTTATACACATATATATATATATATATATATATGTGTGTGTGTGTGTGTAATATATACACATATATATACATATGCTAAGAATATTATAGTGTCACTTTAATACAATAATAAGGACATCCTAAAGGAGAGTCACTATCCCTGACCTTTGACACATGCATTTCCTGATATTTATTTTTTTTTAATATCTGTTTTTAATAGACAAATATCACGTTTACTAATGTAAACCTAACATTCATGTGTTATCTCTGCTGCTCTTATGTTCATTGACATTAAATATTCATGTTCAGTATGAGTTTAATTATTCTTGCAATTCTGTGTGTCTAGTTTTCATATGATGGCCTGCCGATTACAATTTGATTAATGTACTGCATTCCTTCCAGATTCATTACACTAAAATTGTTTGTCCATTAGAATCCACAATGGTATATAGTAGCTTAATCAGTGATATGAAATTCGAATTTACAGACAGAACTATTCACAAATGAAATTAATAGAAAATGATGAAAAATTATAACAATGCAAGATTGGAAGAGCTTAATTTTATACTATGGAAGTCCAAGTGTTTAATTCACGGAAAAACAGGAATTCAATTTAGTGTTTCCTGATGATGCCATTGAAATATTGAATCCCAGTGCGTGCATTTCAATACTTGGAGTATATATTATAATTTTTCAATAATGTGTATGTTTTGTAAAAGAAGGAATGTTACATATACTGTAGAAACACATATACAAATTATAAAAAAAAAAAATTGCCATATTAATCAGTATATTTCATTTTAAATTTTTGGTGTAAAAATATACAGTTTGCAGCAAGAATTTGAGCAACATAATTTATATGAACAATAAAATAATGTAATTAAAATTATTGTATCAAACACCTTAAAGAAATATATCTGCAACAATACATAATAATAAGTTAATACAACATATATGGTGAACAGTCAACTTATACAACCAGCCAAGTTTTGCACCCCAAACCAATTGGCAATTTTCCATGTTAGACAATTACATAGTTATTCATGCCAACAAGGCTTCTAGCACTTCACATTCTCTATTACCCCTGGTCATAGGATCAAGCACATATTGAACACCAGAGCATTTTGTGTTTGAACCTACCAGGTATCCACTTGGGGCGAGTTGATTGGCCGAGCGGTTAAGTCTGGGGCACCGTAAGCTTCAGCTCTAATATCGGCGTTGGTTCGAACGGCTCACTCGCCAATGGTTCCAGTGGTGGAACAAGTCTTCTCAGATAAGGACTTTAAACTATAGGCCCAGTGTACGCATTTGGCTTGTGTGCACTTTTACTCTTCGACAATAGTAGGGGGTTTCCCGGTGTACTGGTCCATTAATCCCCTGTTAAATGGATATGCCACGTAGGACAGTGATTAAGTTCACTTTAAATTGGCATATCCTTGGCGCTCGTGCCTAAAGAAATGAAATGAAAATGAATTGAAATTGGTGGAAAGAGACAATCGTAGAAAATATGCCTTGCCTAAAGGACAGAAGCGAAATGGACAGCGAGGATTGAACCTCCAACCTCAAGGTTGAGAAACAGAATCACAACTGTTGTGGCAAACCACTTCTACATAAATCAATATTTATGTGGTCCTGTATCTATCCCCAAAAGGGAACATTGATTAATTTCAGATACAAGAGTAACACATGACTCTGAGAAAAGCATTAGATAGATAATTATTTTATTGACAAACTTGGGATAACAGTCGTCCAACATAGCATTACAAATCAAGTACGGATTTTATTTTTGTTGTTGTTTTACTTTACTAATTTTCACTGGCTTTTAAGATTTCAAAAAAAATAATAAAGATAACCTAGGTTCCAATGCTAATAAAGAATAAATATCATTTCACTTTATACACATGTTCTGGCGTATGTAGACAGTCAAGCACAGCATTGACATTATACATACCAGCGTGCTAGGATTCAGTTGCAAGACTATCATAAGTTTTGAATTACTGATTTCCAGGATTAACTTGTTCAGTATTTCCATGTTATTGTGTCATCAATAGAAATTATCTCCAAATGTAAATCATACAAAAATCTGTACTGTAGTTTAAATTTATGCCTTTACGATTTTGTTACCACACATTTCTTTTCAATTTATTGTTCAATTCGTAGGAATATTTCTAAGAAAGTGACAAATTACTGTGAAAAAATATTAATATATACGCAATAAAAAAAAAACATGAAAAGTAATAATAGGCCAACTAGATTGTCTAGTCAAGACTGCCAATAACTGATCTACAATCAGTTTCTAAGCATAGCTTTTTTTCTGTCATTCTCCTAAACATTTTTTTTTTCTAGTTTTAAAAGGAAATTTGAAATCGTTAATCATTCATGCTTCCTATTCTGTAAAGTAATTAAGCAAATTTGTCCTCTGCATGCAATATTTGGTAAAATCCACTTTGCTATGTATAATCATGGAAGTATTATTGAGAAGGAGATTCATTCATTCATTCAAACTTTATTTAAACTCAAGTTATAATAACAAATTTACAGTAAAATATACATAGGTATAAATACAATATATAAATACAGTAAGACATTTACAACAGACTTGTTCGATCAATTAAAATATCGTTTTTCAACAAGTTCGAAAGTGGGAAGCAGTCAAAGGTTAAAATATCAAAATACAAATAAACAGTAGTATGAAATTATTAATAAAATAATAAAAATTGCATAATTAGTAAATTGAATCATAATGTCAAATGCAAAAAAAAAACGAATGGGGAGATAGTAAATCAGTAAATTAAGCATTTCTAAAATATTCTTCTGTGGTTCTTTTAAATTAATTTAATGACATATTCAGATTTTTGTGATCACACTTTAAACTATTCCATAAGATTGGACCTTTATATGAAATGCTACGTGTAATATTATCTGGTTTTGGGTTATGGGATAAACAGATTTGAATTACCATGACGCAAATTATAATTTTGATTATTGTATTGAACTGAATTTTTTCAGGTATCTCGGTGATCTTTTCGTTAAAATTTTAAATACGATTATTAAGCATTCAAGTTCGTTTCTTTTTGTTAAAGATATTCAGTTAGCTGAATTCAGTGCTTCTGCACTGGGGGCATCCCAATTTAGACCACATGTAATTCTTGCTGTCTTATTTTGGATAGTTTGTAATTTTTCATGAAAGGTAATCCGCAGTTTTCCCATACAGAAATACAATATGTTAAATGAGATGTAATAATGGCATTAGCAATATTTATAAGAATTCCTTTTGGGAACATATTACAGCATCTAATTAACATTATGTAGGCCTTTTAGAGCCTTTTCTCTGATGCAGGTAATATGAGATTCCCATGTCAAATTTTCATCAAGTATAATTCCAAGATGCTTCGCATTATGCACTCTTGGAACATCTGAACAGTAGAATTCAAGTCACTATTGTGGGCAAGTCTTTGTCTTGAGCCCAGTACTATGAATTCAGATTTAGTTACATTGAGACTTAACTTATTTGATTTCAGCCATGTATATATACATTCTAGATCTTATCTTTGTTTATCATTTCTATAATTTCATTTTCATTTTCAGATGCATAATACATGATTGTATCGCCGGCATACATGCTGGACTTCAAATTTATTTATCACACTGGGAAGATCGTTTATATAAACGAGAAAAGCGATGGGGCCGATTATCGACCCTTGAGGGACGTCGCATTTAATAGTTTGGGAATTAGTAATACCTATTTCGGTGAATTTAATTCTTTCAGATAAATAGCTTCGAAACCATTTTAGTGCTTAATTACTAAGGCCGTACATTTTTAATTTATTCAAAGGTATCTTGTGGTTGACCATATCAAAAGCCTTTTTGATATCTTCCCTTCATCCATGGCACTATACCCAAATCACTCAAAAAAGCTCTGTGTATGCAATGCTATGCAAATGAGCAAAGAACAAAGGGTCCGTAGCGCGTGAAGCCTTCTTTTTTTAATTTGCACTGCTTACAATTAATAGCTGTGGCTGTGCAATCTTTTCCATCTTTAAAGCTAATACATTTATCCAGCATGGTATGCTACTAGATGACTTCTTTGAACACATACCAAAGCTACCTTATTTGCACAAAGCAGAAAATCTAACTAAAAACTAATAGGATATTTGTTCCGATAATAGATCAACCTATCTTTGCCACAATGTGAAAAGATGAATATGCCACATTGTTCCAACATAACAAGGTGATTTTTTGGAACACACTGCTACCTTATTTGGTCAATACCAAAACACCCAATGCGCATAACAGAAGATCTTACTAAAGAATAATAGGATATCTGTTCCAAATCAACCTGTCTTTGATATAATGTCAAAAAACGCATGCCACATTCTTCCAACATAACAAGATGATTTCTTGGAACACATAGCTGCTACCTTATTCGGCCAATACCAAAACATGCGATGCACACAGACAATAATTACTCAATAATAATAACAGGATATCTGTTTAGATATTTCCCTACTGAGATTTGTCACAGCAACCTAAAAATCAACCAGAGTATCAAGTTTCATTATATACTGATTCTCGTCATCACCTGCTCAGGAAATTAATGGTAAAACTTTGAAGCTACTATGGGAATTAGCTCCCTGCAACACCACAATAAGGGGAACACCCCAAAACCTGCCATCCCATTTGGGCCTTAGATCCTCAATTGCCACCGGTGCCACCTCTGCAGAAAACCTTTGAGTATGCCATTGCCAGGGGTGGTGCCAGCTGTGGAGCCGGGGATCAGGGCCACCCATCGAAGAAAGCTGGGCTCCCATCTGGGAGGAAAACCACAATTCGTCGGGGTGAAAAACCACTTTGCTCTCGTCGTGGAAAGTCGGCGCTACTCGTGGCCATTGCCTGAGCGTATATTTCCTCCATAGTAATGTAAATGAAACATATGCACAATCTGCATTTTCAAATGAGGGTTGTGACCTTTGTGATTCTGAACCAGAATCTCATTATTCCTATAATTGCAACAATTGTATTCTTCAACATACCAGGAGCATGGATCATCACCGGAGGCACTCATGCAGGCGTTATGAAGTATGTGGGTGATGCCGTGCGGGATTATGCCCTAGCAACTGGAACCATGAATAGGAACAATGTAGTCGCCATTGGAATAGCGTCATGGGGTGTGATTCATCAGAAAGAAAACCTAACCAAAGACGAAAATAACGTATGTTTTATCAATAATCATAATAATAAATATAATTAATTTAAACTTGTGTCATGTTTTTTTTAATGTTTTTTTTTTTTTTTTAATTTTATAAAATTATTGTAGATTTTTCGCTTTATGGATTGATTTCAAAATCAAATATAACATGTGCATGCATCATACGTTTAAAGTAGTCCAGTCAAAATCACATAATCACTATTACATAAACTACTTAGGACTTATTTAACACCATATGTTATTCATGGATAGATCATTTATTGTTTGCATCTTGAAAGTGCAAATTTAAGAGAAAATCCAACTTTTAAACATCATTTTCTTCTACATTCCTTTGTGGCTTCACAAGGCGAAAGGTGAGATGTGCAGATGATGTTTATTAAGTTGTAAAGTAAAAATTGATAAGCCAGGTAGTGATTTACTGTAATAGTGTATTATAATTTTATTATTATAATTTATCCTGATAAACAAACTAGTAAATGTTGTCCGCCAAATCTCATATATTCTCTGACCCTAAGTAGTCTGACCGAGTGAATCCAATAGAATTATACATAAAATCTGTATTTTTGTACGCAGTTTTACATAAAACGACATTAGAATGTTAATATGCAATTACTAATCTGTCTTTTCTTCATTTTTGTAAATCATAAAAAAAGTAAATAGATTGTGTATCTTTTATCTAGCCCTATGGTCCAGCAAATTATCGCATGGATGTCAGTGGGAACGTAAAGCTAGATCCAAACCACACCCACTTCATACTCGTCGATAACGGTACTTCCGGCAGCTTCGGTGTTGAAATCAAACTTAGGGCTAAGATTGAGAAAGCTATTTCAGAACAAAGAATTGGTGATGGCAAGGATGGTAAGTTCTGTAAAATTAATTCATGCAATATTCAAATAGTTTCGTTTGGTTTGCTTATGATTGTCGTAGAACTGTTTTAATTGTTAATAAACCAAAAACAATGAATGTTACCTTACTGCAAGCTTTCGTCGATGTTATCAACATGACTTCCTCAGTCAATGGATGCCAGCTCACATAGCCTGACGAATTATTTATTATTGATTACATCAACGAAGCTCGCAGTAAGTTAACGTCCATTGTGATTGGTTTATTAGCGTTTAAAACAGTTCTGCATTTCATGCAATGTTTTTAAAAATATATAAAATGAGAGAAACAGCAAACAACAAAGCAGGCTAGAAAAATAAATGTAATTATATTTTGAACTGTTTGCCATAATATTTTTATTTATTATCACTTTATTCCAATCTATCCTCGATCATAAAACGTTTTGTGGCCAAGGGCCAAATGTTATTTACATTTTTATTAAACAAAAAATAATTAAAAGGCATTAAAATCCATTTAAATTGTCTTTGATATTATAGGCTCATTAATATATATTTATATATATATATATATGTATATAATATATTTATGTAATTATATATTATATATTGTATGATATAATTATAACTTAGTATATAATAGGCCCCACACCAACAGATTGGAACAGGCACCAGCTTAAAAAGTAGAATATCTGTGTAAAATAGGCTAAATTATCTAGTAATACTTGGATTGAATTTGTTTTCTGTAGAGGATGTATCTGTACCAACCGTTTGCGTTGTAGTCGAGGGCGGTCCCAACACCATCTTTACAGTGCATCAAGCGGTCATGAACGGTACACCAGCTGTAATTGTAGCTGGCTCAGGACGTGCTGCAAATATTCTTGCGTTTGCTGCACAAAGGGCTAGAGAAGTTGAAGAAGATAACAATGGCGGTAAAGAGTGAGTTCTTCATGTTGTTACTTTTATATTTATTTGCTTTTTATTATAGAGTACCACAGTCGTGTCGTCATGACGCCAGGTGGAGCTCTCTGTTGTCAACAGACGTTGGTTACCGTTCATTACGCCTGAATGAATTCATAGGCTTTCTGGAATAGGCATTTTAAAATCTAATATTTTACCATCAAAATGTACTAAAAAGCAAAAGCTTGCATTATATTAGTTATCGAACACACATTTAATCATCAATTAAAATTTACAAAAACAAAAGTAGGATACAACATGTTAATAATTACGTTAGAAATTGGGATCAATTGTTCGTCAGTGGAGAAAATGGCGTCCGGTTGAACGCATTTTGCAATGATAGCAATGGAGTAGTATCGTGACGTAACACTGTAGTACTCCATAAATGGGGGAAAAGGGAGAAATTCAAGCTTCAGATCAGGGCAGTTTTTGTAATTCCCAGTGGCAGATCCTTGTAATCGAAATAGAGGGTTTAATATGGCGGCACTACCGGGGGGTGGGGGGGCTGTCTCTTAGGGGGGGCGGAGAAGGGGTGAGGCTTTTCTCCCTGTTGGGGAGAAAAACCACAATTCGTTGAGGAGAAAAAAAAAATTGTATGTATTTTTTACATAATAATGGACTCTAAATTTGATTAAAGATAAGTCTTTGAAGCCCCTAAATTGTCATACTTTTGGGGGATTCACCCTGTGGACCACTTTCGAAAGATTTTGTGTGACATCCAACCACACCCACTTTGCTCCCGTTGAGGGAATCAGCCCCCTTGTTGGGGACCTAGGCACCTGTTGGGGAAATCCTAGCTCCGCCACTGAGAGGGTTGGGGCCAGGGAGACTTTCGAGGGTCTAGATCAACTCAGACTCACCGCATGGTTGTGGCTAAAAGGTAAGACATTTTATGGTGTAAAGCATTTCTAGATATCAGAACATGGTTGTAATCTCATACTCGAAGCATTTTCTTCTTTTTGCCAATTTTAGTAATTTAGGAAAAAATAATTAAACATGGCATATCATTATCTGATAGAAAAAAGATGTTTATTGGTGACAACTTGAGAGCAAAATTAGCACAACTAATCAAAAAGGAGTTTGGTGAGAACGTTACTGAAACGGACCTTGAGTTGCATCTGAATCGCATACAAGAATGTGTTGAGAAGACTGACCTGTTTAATGTGTATGACATGGACTCATCAACCGGTCTCAAAGATATCGATGAAGCTATTTTACATGCTTTACTGAAAGGTATTAAAAACTTATTTCAAGTGTAAAATTACAGGGGCGTAGGCCTGGTGCAGCATATTAGAAGAATAATTTCCTTCTACAAAGTGGGTTGGAAAAATAAAAATCACCATGGAGTTTTTATTAATAAGGTATTTTGTCCTGCATTCACAATTTTCGGCCAGAATCAGCTTTTACGCCCTTACATTGAACAGCAATTAATGTCACACCAAAATCATTTTGCTTGACCTGTATTTTTATTTCAGTGGAGTATTCAATATTAATAACATATACTGTACATTGAATTTCCATAATTCTTTTTATTTACCAAGGATAATTATGTTTATTTGGCAAATAAAATATTTGTTTGTCTTATTCCTTTGTGAAAATAATTGTTAATATGTGAAATAAATTATTTTTATTTTGATGTTTTTGCGATTATCATTGTTTCTCAGTTACATCTTTTACAGAAACATGTTCCCATTTTTTTATTATTTATTATTATTATTATTATTATTATTATTATTATTATTATTATTATTGTTGTTATTATTATTTTTGCCTACCAGACTCATTACTTTTTGAGTGAAGTAAAATTGTGAATTATGAATAAACAATTCTTTTTTATGCATGTATGTAATATTACAATTTGTTTCATATACATATGTATTTATGTATATTTTTAATTATTTCTGATTTAATACTTACCTTATTTTGATGATTAATTTATATCCTGACCTTTAGCTAATAAAGGAAGCAAGCAAGACCAGTTGAAGTTGACACTAGTGTGGAATCGTATTGACATTGCTAGGAGTGAACTTTTTACTGATGACAAAGATTGGAAGGTATGCAACCAGTTCAAAATAGTGGGATGTTTTTTATTATATTTATTTTTATTTATATTCTTTTTATTCATTCCAGCATATAAAATACACAGAAATACAGACAAATTGATATAAAAGCCAAGGAGAAGGAAAAGTTTAAAACGCAGTCATAGGAAGCATGTGCCTTTCTAATATTACATTATTACAAAAACAAAACAAGAACAGTAAGCATAGATTAAACAATATACAGGTATAAAACATCTGAATGACACTTAAAAGATTTCTTTAAATTTATTAAAAGAACAACTAACAAAAATCTCTCAGATCTAATTTGGGATTGAATTCAATGTTCTCCTAATTCTAAAACAAAATTTTGACGTATTGTTATTGGAGCATAAGTGTCTAAATGTGTGCTGTGCTGCAGAATATATTAATTTCATTGATTTTGATTAAAGTAGCCATCGAAATGGCATCATGGGATGTAATTCATCAGATAGAAAACCGTACCAAAATCGGTGAATTGTTCATTTTGTATGGATGGCCATGGGATTTCCTTGTGGCCTTAATGATAGCATTTCCAAAATCATTCAACATTATCAGCATTTTTACAAGTGTACAAAAAGTACACACTTAATAATCAGTTTTAATTTTTCTATATTGTATTATTAGGCACCTTACACCTGTAAGGGCAGCGGTGTTGGATCCCCCCCCCCCCTTAAGGGGCAGCCAATAAAGGGAAACATGAGACGTTCCTTCCATTCGTGAGTCTTGGGAGTTAATTAGGAATTCTACTTGGGCAAGCAAAGTACTCCTGAAGCCTCCCCCACCATGGATAAAGTTATTATTATTATTATTATTATTATTGTAATTTTTTTTTTTTGGGTCCGCACAAAGCGATGACCTCCGAGTCTCAATGCTGTTCTTGTTTTGAACAGACGTTCAGGAAATTTTGTACACATAAATTGGAGGTGATTTCCAACAAATGTTTATTGCCTTTTTTTAAAAGTTGGACACCTATGAAACAAAACAGCGGTTTCACCAAGAACTGTTGTTTGTTGAACTATCTACGTGGTGTACTGCAAGCATTAAATATATTATTACTTCACCATGCAAACCTTTAAACTATAGTTCTTCAAGTGTAAGCCCATCTCCTGCTTTACACTCAAATTTATGTACCAGCCTTTCCTCACATTCAAAAGCCCAGGTATGATTTGAATTAGTAACTTTTACTTGATTTTTTGTACAAATTGCATTCATAAATGGATTTAATTAGGTAGGCAGTAATAAAAAAAAACATGGCTTTTTAATGGAAAAGAAGATTTCCCAGGTTTTAGCTCCCTTCACCCTTCCCAAGAAAAAAAGTGCCAAATTGTGTGTAAAACGGCATGAGCTTATACCAAAGGAACTATGGTAGTATAATAATAATAATAATAATAATAGTAATAATAATTTATAGGTGACTGTAAAGTATATCAAAGAGTTTGTTTGCTTTGACAACTGCAATTTTAAGCTTTGTCTACACTATCAGATTTCACCAAAAAAGCGTCACATATATTATGTGATTGAAAATAAGAGTTGAACACGCTCAACTTTTTTTGATACAATTTGATAGTATGTGATATGACGTCATCATACCCATATATGGGCACATCACATTTTTTTGTCACATAAAATTTTATAGTGTAGACAAAGCTTAAAATAATAAAATTTAATATAGATGTAAAGAAATAACTTTGAACTTAATCGTTTCACATCATGATGTATTTCTTTTGCAGTTGCAACATATATAGTTGGTAAATATAATATACATTTTGCATAAGGGCTTATAACCTCTGCATGAATAATGGAACTAACACTTAAAAAGTATTGATAAGTTGATGGGAGTGATAGAAGAGCATGATATATCAAAATTTTACCAGGACTGAATTCTACTTTGGCCTGCTTTTTATATTCTTTATACATAGAAAACTATTTGTTGGAAACAAATACATAAACATCCTTGGAGTTTAGAAATTCATTGAAATATATGCAATTAAAGAAAACAAACCCAGAAATGCATATTTTTTCATGAAAATACTGGTCATGAAATATGGTTTTTTTTTTTCGTTGGTTTAAAGTTGGGTGGCATTTACATTTTAATTATAGTTTCCAGAAAACATCTTCATAATTACTTTAAAAAATGAGATTAGTTTTTAGTAGCAATTTTGAATTTGTGTACACTTAAGCAAATCTGACCTTGTGTTCTCAGTAAACTGGTACTGCTACTGATATGTCACTCTGACATTGGCGTGATGTTGTCATTAGCAGGATACTGCTTTTAAAACTATAATTTGAAGCGCCCCAACAGCAAAATAGAAGAGAACAATATAATGCAGTGATTAATATAAATTAGGTTAAAGTCAGTGCAGTTATAATCGTGGGGGCAGTTACTTTAGCCTTCTGTTGAAGGTATCCCTGATTAAAAGTTTCCTTTAATTGACTTTTGAATAGATTGAATTTTCCTGCCTCTTCTTTATATTCTTTAAATTTATATTTGTATGCATATCAGTATTTACTTATATCTCGGTATCTTTTTTATTCATAAATTCAAACAACACATCTACAGTATCAAATTCTTAACAGCCAGAGGCTGAATTGGGGATTCAATTTACAAAATGAATATCTGAATTAAATTTACAATAAGTCATTATCATTATTAAGATCAATTAAAATAGTCAATATTTTTATTATTTTAATTAGTTACAATTATTATTTAAAAAATTTGATATTAATTAATATGCACAAGCATTAAAATTTCCGATTTAAAAAATTTAAAAAAAAGGAAGACATACAGTAGCAAATTATTCAAAAACAAACTAAAGAGATTTAACATTGAATATCAAACCAACCGAGGGCACAGACGCCCGCATACCACTGGCACAGTTGCACCCAAAACACCACCCGGGTGGGATCCGCCCCCGGAGCACAAGTCAACACTCTCGCAAAAAGGACACCTAGGAATGGATTAATTTATTTGATTAAGAAGTTTGGTGGGAAAAGGTATAGGGCTATTTCTAAACCTTTCTGTTCTAGGAATAACAGTTCTTGACTTGACTAAATATAATATATTGTATCACATTATATAATACAAGAAACATAAAATGGAGTGGAGTTAAATAGCTTAGAGGTTAAGATGTTTGCCTTCTAATGCTAGGTTCCTGGGTTCAATTCCTGTCACAACAGGACTTATATCTCATGAAAACCACTCCACTTCCTAAGCCTTGTAAAGAGACTGGGTTTAAAAGCATCTTTCCATCTAAGTGGCAAGTGTACTTGCTGTTGGATATGAAGGAAATAAAGTAAAAATTGGTACAACACAATTTGTTTATTTAGCATTTCAATTTACAGGCACATACAACTATTGAAACTGAATTATTAATGTTTACTTTACTAATAAATCCATAAGCATTCACTCACGCAAGTAATCTCACATTTGTAATAACACATTTACTTCACTATTTATATAATTTGTGCATAAAATAATAAACTCTGCAACACATCAAATGCTGTAGCATGTGCAGTATCTACGATATGAACACACTTTTCATTTCAGTAATCCAAGTACATTTTTTAATATTACTCATTGTTCTGTATGTGTGAACAGATTGTTACGCATTTGGCATATTCGTGTTAAATAAACAAATTATTTATTGAATTAATTAGACAGACACAATTTTTTAAAGACATAATTGTCTGTTTTGAAACTTTACAAATAAAATTAAATATTTATTAGGAAAACAAGAATATTTTTCCATGCTGATTCACTAGCCTCTAAATGATACTGTTCCAATGTTCTTTGCATAAGACCCTTGGTGCCCACACCTTCCTTTTTCTGTTTTGCAAATTTTCATGAAATGCTGCTTGCATTTATTCATTCATGCATTAACTCAAAGCAAATTCAAATTATGTTGACCTTTGAGACAAGATTATTTGCAGCGTCTTTAGTGCCCGGAGGCCTACAGTATAATTTAATGTGCTTAATGTTGATCAGAATTTTTTTTTTGTACAACCTGCATTAATATTGACTATTGAATGAGCATAAACATATCAAGCCACAGAATGTTTGTCAACTGTATAATTTAATAAATTCATTTTTGACCAAGAATATTTATTATGGATATCATGCATGTGAGGATTTTAAGAGGAGCTTCTATATCTATGAAGCAGATCAGAGTGTGATGCCCCCTTAGGTGGGATGCTGGTCCACCATAGGTTACTCTCAGTAATTTGAATAGCCTAGTGGTTAGCGGGGGCGCCGCAAGCTATAGCCATAATATTGGCGCTGGTTCGAACGGCATGCTCGTCTATGGTTCTGGTGGTAGAACAATTTTTTTCGGATAAGGACTATAAACCATAGGCCCAGTGTATACAATGGCTTTTGTGCACTATAAAGAACCCAGTACATCCTGCGAGACGAGTAGGGGGATACCCCAGTGTACTGGAACATGACAGCCCCTGTGGTGGACAACGAGAGTTGCTGGTACCTGGTTACCGGGTAGCACAGACACAAAGGAACCCTTAGGGGCGAAGAAAGTCATTGATCGAGTTCCTAGTCCACATATCAAGTGCCCTGAGCATCTTACATTAGATGGATATGTGCACTATATAAAACTACACTATTATTATTATTATTATTTGCTGGTACCCATTGATGAGGTTGGGTAGACTGAAGCAGTGTAAATAAATTGCCATGCTCAAGGACACCAGCAAAATGCACAGCAAAGGATTGAAATCCCGATCTCAAGATTGGGAAATCAAACCATTTCAACCGCGCCAAACCGCCTCTACAAAAAGGCTTCTGTAGTACTACAGTAGTAGTTAGTAGTAGTAGTAAAATATTATTAAAGAGAAGAAAATTGAAATAAAAAAATAAAATAAAAATAGCTGATATGTTATAGTATGCAAGTAGATATTGCAGTTTTGAGAAAAAAATGAAATAATGATTACACTCAAATTAAACAATATATTATATAAAAAAAAATTTATTTTTTATAAAATTCATCATTGTGCTAATCTATTTGTCATAATTAAAGAATAATTAAACATTTTTGTATTCATCTTTGCAGGTCAAAATTCAAGAGGAAACCTTAACACATTTGATAACCCGATTCGGGAGCTTTTGATCTGGTCGGTTCTACAAGGTCGTGAAGATATGTCTAACTTCTTTTGGGAAGAATGTAAAGAGATGATAGCTGCTGCACTCACATCCTGTATGATCCTCAAGAATATGTCGGAAAAAGAGGACGATGCTGATCATAAGGAGCACCTGTCTCGATTGTCAGAGTGAGAAGCTATTTTGTATATAAAGATGATTACAAATTGTATTTTGGCAAGTCGAGTGGCCAAGCGGTAAGGGAGGGGCGCCGCTAGCTGCAGCCTTAACATCGGCTCTGATTTCAGCCGATCCTCGTCCATGGTTTAGGTTGATAGAACTAAGTCTTCTCGAGTAAAGACTTAAAATGGAGGGCCTGCGTATAGATCTGGCTCATGTGTACTTTAAAGAACCCATTACATGTCTTTCGGAAGAGTAGAGGGTTACCCCAATGTTATGGTTCCTTCTAGCCCCTGTCTTTGTGGAATGATGTGAACATGTAGCTACCATGAAGCGCCTCTTTATGACCATGCCCTTGCACAATTCAGCACACTGACGCTGCAAGTTATGGGTTACTCTCCCACCTACCTACCTACCTACCTACCATTACAAATCCACATAATGTTCCATTTACCTGTAGCTTTTATAATGACAATATACATTTTATAGAACATTATACCACATTTTTCCTGAACAGGTAGGACATATTCAAAGGCTGACTTGTCGCCACGGAGCAGTGCCACCAATCAGTGATGTAAACCACTGGTCATTGAATTCATAATTGACAAACTGACACAAGTGCAGTCATTTTCACTCCCTGGGGAATATACCGTGTCATACCCATAGCAAAACATCTTAGTAGACGTAGCGCTGTATCTAATAGCTTAATAGTAGACGAGCATTAGTAGATCTTATAGACGACCTACTAACTCTTACTAATAAGTAGATGTTTTGTAGTTTTGAGGTAGATTTTGCCTCATTAACATATTTCGTGAGTAATAGTAGGCGTGTTTGCCTACTAGTGAACAACTAGTGTCTATTAACAATAGTGCTATATAAGTAAGATCTACTAAGGTTTTTCGCTATGGATGCTGCATTGTGAACAGACTAATAGTCAATGCCACAACAACTAGATATCTATTTATAGGCCTCAGTTTTAGCAGGCCCTTAACCAGGTTCATGGGAAAGTGGGTTTTCTTGTAGGGAAAGTGGGTTTTCTTGTAGGCCAAGTTTAACTCAAAAGTGGTTTTGTTTTATAACAAAGTTATGATGACATACTAAAAAGTCGTAAACTTGTCAAAAAAAGGGGGTTTAGTCGAACCCTCAAAACCACCTGTTTTTTGGCCTTGGCTAGACAAGTGTAGGTGAAGTGCCTTTAATGACACAAACTGAATGAGGCTGTTGGTGAAAGCTTAGATATATTGAACAGTTCAATATTATTACATTAGTTCCTGTAATTCCCATCCTGATTAAAAGTTTACAGTGTCCAGCAAATCCCAATCAGAAATCACTATTGACTAAACTTAATTAATAAAAAGAAAGTTTAATGTTATTCCATTCAATGACTACATAATGATTTGTTTGTACCATTTACAATACAATATCATTTCTTTTTATACATAGATGAAATAAAATTTTCGCTGACAGTTGGGCCAGAATCCGCACTTTTTCACTTTTTCCACGACATATTTTACTGTGTTACTCCCTGATAGTCAGCTCAACCACTGGTACCACCCATGCACTAATCTCAGTTGATTCACAGCAATAAAAAAAAACAAACCACAAATTAGTAATGTTATTTTATTATTATGTTATTCAAACTCACTAGTGCATTTGAAGACTTTGCCATTGGAGTTCTGAATGAGTGTTACAATGAAGATGAAGAGAGGACCTCTATCATTCTGGTTCGGGAGTTTCATCAGTGGGGGCGTGCTACATGTTTGAGTTTGGCTGTTAATGGCAGGATGAAGAAGTTTGTCAGTCAGCAAGGAGTCCAGAATTTGTTGACGGAAATCTGGATGGGAAAACTTTCCAAAGAAAATTCATTTTACACTGTAAGTTTGTTTTAAAGGAATACTGTCTGCAAAATGTAGAAAATCCTTCAGGTATACCTTAGATTCATACTGTAGGTCTGAAAAATGTCCCAAGATTTTCTATTTTTTTCTTTTTGTAGTACAATTATTGAATTCTGAACATTATCAAGCAACTACATAGTCTACTGTTTATTCATTATGAATTAATTTCATAACAGGTATATGACTAGATACATCATTATGTTATTGATTGAATTTTTGTGACCAAATGTTTAACAGCTTACCAAAGCTGCAAAGCAATTTTTTTAACAGGGTTAATATTGCCCTGGAAGAAAAACTAGGCAGTTTTCCCTCCAATGACACATACAATCTTTTTATTGACAGTTGGCCCTGTGTGTTGTTTGTCCACCTCTCATCTATTTTCTCATCAAATTCCGTGAAGATGAGAGTGAGGAGGAAGAAGATAACAATTTAGTAAAGAGATCAAATTCAAAACGAAAGAAATCCATCAAAGCAGTAAGTTTGAATTTAGAAATTAATATGAGTTGGAATTTTATGAGAAGAAAGATTAACTAATGTGATAGAATAATGGTGGTGTTGTTAGTGATTTCATTGCTGATGCTACTAATAATGATGGTGGTGATGTTGATGATAGTAAATTTAGAGTTGATGTATTTTTACAATTCTTTCTCTAGAATGGTAATAATTTAGAGGGTGATCAACTCAGTCAAAGTCTTCAGATGGTTAAGGTTCAAGATTCTAATGGTGGTGCAGAAGATAAACCTGCAAAACCAACTGGGTAAGCTGACCTCAATTAATTTTGTTGCTCCTACTTCCAGAACTTAAAGGATTTTATACAGAAAACTTCTCATTGAAAAGTAAAGCCAAGAGACAAATCTATCAGAGAAAGTGAAAAATAAAGAGCAGTGAGAGATCCTATAATGCAGTAGTGGTAGTGGTCAGAGAAATGATCAGCTTTGAAGAGTGTGAAGAGATACATTAGTCTTTTATTGATATTTATCTTTATAGTATGTTTGATATTTCAGAGGTACTAATCAAGATGAGGAGTTCTACCACCCTACACATGATGTTGATATTCGTGACAGTGGCAAGGAACTCTCCTGGTATCAACGTTTCAAACTTTTCTATGATTCTCCAAGAATTACTTTCACGCATAACCTGGTGCGTTAAACAAAATTTTGATAACCATTTTTTGTATATTTACTCACTATGTCATATTCAAAATGCACACTCAAAAACTATGATTAAGAGACATCAACCAACACTACCATACAAGGCATCGCTAGGCTAGTCTATTCCTAGTTAAACAAACATCACTATCTAAAGATTTATTACATTTTGTAAATCAAAAATTATACATCTTACATAATCTGATGATATACTTTTGTCAGAATACACACAGATTTCAGCGAATGCTTCAGCGGCACTCATACGACACGCCATCAGAGCTAGATGTGGCGCGAATTTTTTTTTTTTTTTTTATCAACTTGGATACTTTCACATATTGAAATACTTACAGTCTAGACTGAATAAAGTGTTCAAATTGTTAGTATATTTTGGTAATTACCCCATCTATCGGATTCGGTAAAAAAACCTGAAACACGGAGATCTCCGTGTTTGGTGGCCAAGCATTGCGTTACCAAACACGGAGATCTCCATTTTTGGCAGTCATGGTGTTAAGCATGTTAGTAGATTTTATTCCTAATTTGTGTGTTTTATCTTCCTTTCAGATATTTTACTTCTTATTCCTGGCACTTTTCAGCTACATCATGTTAACCAGCTTCACCAAAGAAGTGTCAGTTGCTGAATATGTTCTCCTATTCTGGATGATAACACTGTTTACTGAAGAGTTCCGACAGGTTAGTCAAGCTCTGTTCAGCTTATAAAAAAATCATTGTATGCCCATATATAGTTGTGATGTGCTTATATATGGTCATGATGTCACGTCATTTGAGCATGTAACATGTTTTTGTCCAAAAAAAAAAAATGAGTCTTGACAGGGCTGTAAATAAATATCTATTCACAAACTGGAATGGAGGAAGCATGTTGTTCTTCTAAAGGCCATATTGGTGGAATTAATCTGGTCGGGACCTGTACCCATGTTTGCTGAACGAACCATAGAGATCTTTGTGTTCCTGGCTGTATTTTATTAAAGCATGCCTAGCTTTTGGAAAATGCTTTAAGCCATGGTTCTACATACAATAACTTAACAACAAAATGGATGACCCTAAACCAGCATCCTCCCTATTTATTATGTAATACATTGATGAATCTGCAGAATGATCAGTAACTACCAATGTACTTCATTACTATGGAATAAGCAGCTATAATGTCCCATACAGTAGGTAGATAATGTAAAGTATTAAAGAGTTATGAAAGGTAACCTATATAGTATAGTGTGTACTATATAATAATTTGTTCTTGTAATTTTAGATTGCACAAGGAGAGTCTAATAGATGGCGGTTGCGCCTCTTATTCTGGATCACTGACTACTGGAATATAGTGGATCTAGCAACTCTGATTTTGTTCACCGTCGGATTCACAATGCGTTTTTTTAATGAAACGTTTGCTGCCTCTCGTGTCGTTCTTGCTATTGACCTCATGATCTTTTACATTCGCCTTTTGCATGTTTTTTCTGTCAACCAAAATCTGGGACCCAAATTGATCATGATCAGCAAAATGGTGAGTTGAACATTTCACCTTCATCAGCAATAATGTTTTTAAAAAAGTTATTAAAAATTTAGATTATCATTATAATTAGATTTTTTATCATTATTTTTTAATCAGCAACAGCATCATCATCATCTTTCCAATCATCAGCATCTTCATAATATCATTATCATCATCACCATCATTATCGTGATAATCACTTTAATACCATTATCATATTTACCATTTCATCACCACCATCATTATCTTATAAAAATCATAGTAATATTAATATATTAATAGTAATTTAATAATAATTATGGTAATTAATATTATTATTGTTGTGGTTATACTGTTATTAATGAATCAAATTAATAGCAAAATGATTAAAATGTAATTAAGGTGTTTGTTATACTTTATTTGCAACAATACTATATCAATTATTTTAGAACGCAAATTTACTAATTATGATGAGGAAGCTCTGTAATCTTGACCCCCGTTCTTATCTAAAAGGAGAACATCTCACTGTCTCAAGATTGCCAAAAAAATCTGCTTAATAATTTAATCCTACAAACCCGCTTTGAAAGCCATGAGAGAAATCTTCCCCAACTTCCCTATCATGCTAAACGTTTTTCTACAAGTCCCATTCCCTATTATATTCAGCTCATTAATCAGAAATCTCCATGATGCAGTGAGATGTCTCCCTCTGATCAATCAATTAATCAATTTGATCAAGCAATTCAGTACTTTCATTGTCTTTTTTGATTTTGAATAATTTCTTTTCGTTTTTGGTTCTTGGTTTGTCCTTTTATTTTTTGTGTTTTAATGGATGTTTATTGACCTTTTGAATACATTTTTTGAATGGATTTTCTATGTACTTTTTGAATAGATTTTTATATTTTAATTGTTTTTTAAAGTGCAAATGACACACAATTTGAACTTTTGCCACAAAGTGTTGTATTTTTTTAATGAATAATAAAGCGATATACGTATGTTCTTTCTGTAGATGGTGGATCTAGCATTCTTTATGTGCATATTATTTGTGTTCCTGGTAGCATACGGCGTCGCTTCCCAATCTATCATGTTTCCAAACACAGACGGATTTATACCGGTAATCAAGGGAATATTTTTTCAATCATACTTCCAGATGTATGGAGAACTTTTCCTGGAGGACATCCAAGGTAGTTTAGCATAATTATGCTGTGTAGTTAAAATGATTCAGAAAACATTGATATTATAAGTTCTATAGTTGATTAATTGCACCAGACAGTGGAGGGGTCATGTATTTATTTATTTCATTAATTACGATATACTGTATAATGCAAACATTTTCTTTTTCTGCTTTCCAGTCGAGAATGGTAGTTGCACCAAATTACAGGACGGATCTGTGGGAGACATTGAAGATCCCTGCCCTGAATTTTCATGGGTTGCCATCTGTTTACTTGCCGGATACATGTTGTTTAGCAATGTGTTACTGCTCAATCTCCTTATTGCAATGTTTAGGTGAGATTAACATTCTTAATATCATTTTCTTTGTTTAAACATTTCTTTATGGGGACATATGTATAACAAATATCAATATATAAATTAATCTTAAACCTTATGTGATGTAAAAAATAATAATCTGAGTGTGTGAAAATTTGGTCTGATGACAATTTGTTTACTTTTGGTTAATTTTGTTTGCAGTTACACCTTCTCTGCAGTGCAGGACAACACTGACCAGTATTGGAAGTATCAACGTTATGAGATCATCTCTGAGTATTTTAGTCGACCTCCTCTAGCACCACCATTCATAGCTGTGTCTCACATTTACATCCTTGTTACCTACATTCTTAGGACTTTCTGTAATTGTCCTTGGATTAGTAGTCCAGCTGGTGTCCTCAGTAAGATGTCAATATTATGGTTATCATCATTATTATTATTATAAGTATTATTAATATTGTTATTTATTTTAATGTTGCTGTTATTATTATATATATTATAAAGGTTTTCCCATACTCCTGTCTGCATTTGTAAAATGTAGTTAAAAGTAACACATTTCTTTACTGCTAAGCTCATGTATACAACGATGGTGGAACTTTACTTCTGACATCATGGAAATTTGATGTTACTACACTATGCCTACAATTATAACAATACAGTATATCCAGTGATCTAACAGGACGGTCCCGCATTTCAAAGTGAATTTGGTTGAAACATGCATTTTTGTAGATACACATGCGTGATCATAATTTTGTCATGAATTTAGCACAGGTCTATGCGTGATAACGAATTATCACTAATTCAGGGGAAAATGTATTTAAAATTAGAAGAAATTGGTTTTATTAAATATATAAAAACGGGTCATGCAGTAAACTTGACAGTGGTGGCGGCAGGATTTGACCGACGGGGTCGATATATCCGACGAAAATGAGTAAGCATGGTCGGGGGCCCCTGAAAGTCTTTCAAAGTGTTCCATGGGGCAAAAACATGACAAAAGGGGTTTAAGTGGGCCCTCGCTGGCGCCAAATGTCTTGAGTCATTAGACGGTATTTACGTGAATAATTAATTCATTGACGCGTTACTAAAAATTGATCAGTATTCCTATTCATTTTTTGTTTGTTTACGTAATGAAAGGTTTGGGTATGTAGTTTGGGTGCTGAAATTAAACATAATATACATTGAAAATCCAATTGTATGTGGCTTTATTAAAAATATTTTTGTGTATTTACCGTACCCAGTATTGTCAACAAACACTCCCTGAAATCGATTTAAAACTGCTTAAAAATGCTCAGATTTGGGCCAAATCACATTCTCTGTTCTGCCTATGTTCTCTGTACCATCCAAACCCTTTGTGCCCTATTTCCAAACCTTTTTTTTTTTTCATTGCAGAGCAGAAAGTGTCGGAAGCTGAAGTCAAACATTTGGCATTGTGGGAATCATTGAACGGAGATAACTACATGACAGGAGAACGACAGAAACATCAGCAAGACATCAATGAAAGAGTCAGATCTTTGCTTGAAAAGTATGCATCACTATTTTTTCAAGAATTCAATTAGCTCTTTCGAAGCCTTAATTTGCTAGGTTTAGAAGTATATCGTGAGTCAAGTGGCCGAGAAAGGCAGGTGTGACGGTAATTACAGCCATACAAATGTTGCTGGTTTGAGATGCTTCTCACCCAGTGTATAGTTTGGTGAGATACAAGTCTTCTCTGATAAGGAAAAGGTGGTCTAGTGTACATACTGTGTCTGGTTGATATACCTCTTTCAGAAGTGTGTGGGTTTCCCCTGATGCTCTGGTTCATTTCAGCCCCTGTCATTGTTGAATGACATGGACATGTAAAGCTACTGTATATTTTTATAATTTAGATATTACACATTTTTTTTTTAGAGTGGATGAGATGAACCTGAAAGTAGATGGGGCTCCAGAAAGTACTGTATTTGGAGGAAGTACTGCGAATGCACGAATTGACCGACTTGAAGATCAGGTATTAAGTGACTTAGATACTTGCATCTTTTTTACTTTCTTTACCTTTTTTGTTTTGCTTCATTTTAATACATTTTTTGCTTCTTTTACTTAATTTCAATGCTTCTTTTACCTTATACCCAGCAAACACAAAATGGTCTTATAACATTCACCAATGTTGTGGTTAGGTATGTCACAAAATAACTTTCGCACAACATTTTAAGAACGTTCAAATGTTGTGATGTGAAATTAGGTTATATACGTACATGGTTCTACAAAATTACGTTCTTATCTGCAAAGTGTAATATTATTATAACATTCTTATAACATGATATTGTTAGCTGGGTATTAGTTCTTTTTCCTCTCTTGCATCTTCCACCATTTCATTGCTTTCTTTTACCTGTTCTGAAACTATTTCATTTTTGTCTTTGAAGATGGAACGTATTAATAAGGCATTGGATTGGTTGATCAAAGCCCACATTGAAAATGACATAGGATGTGAGAGTGGAGCACCAAAGCTGAAAGCGATTAAATATAAAGAGGGTAAGTATCAAATACTGATTCAGGTAGGATGTACAGCAAGTTAAATTCCTTGATACTACAGACTTACCTCAGCCTCTCCCACCTGAAGATTTTTAAGATATCAAAAAGATCAATTATTTAAACTGCGAAGGAGAAATCTTAATGATTTTTTTCCCAGTGTACATTCTTCTTGCAACATCATTCAATTTACGTCTATTAACTTTATGTTAATTATTTTTATATTAGTAATAATAATGCTTGGCATTAGCGTTTATCACATTAAGACTCCAACCGGTTCCCATAATTACACTTGTCATTGGGAACTGCAACAATGCACTCCTCTGCTTTGTTGGGTGTGTTTACAACATTTTTAACTTCCCAGTAGCAGTTGTTAGTGTCACTGTAAATGAGTGAGACTGAAGGTAGGAATTGCCACCTGTGTAATGTGTAATACCTACACAGCTGCCTTCCAGCAGTGTTTCTTCTGGCTTGTTAGCAAAATGTGGTAGGCTAATATGCTGTAATATGTTCAGAATAGTATGACACGTTCAAGAAGAATTGCCACTTTGCCCCACATCCCATAGAGAGGTGGGTTAAGGTGGGTGTGGTGGGTTAAGGTGGGTGTGGTAGAATTGGAAATTTCACCAGGGAACTTTGACAACCCCCCCCCCCTCCCACCTTGGGGACTTAACCCATTGTCTGAGAATTTCTATTGCCGGCCGCCACAGCACCATATACTCCTCTGAGTGGTGGAGACTAAATTCTGTATTGAAAACTTAGGTATACTATCGATGGCATGGAGTTTGCAACACTCCTATATGTTCAGCTATAAAAGATATTGTTAATTTTGTTGGGAATAATTTAGATGTATAATACAGTATATGCTTTCATTTCTAGATGATGATGATTTCATTCCTGATGAGGAAGAAGTGCACAAGGTACCAACAACTTTAGAAGAGATTGGAATTATGATCCACAAGAAAGCACGACAGAGTCCTTATCCTGGTACTGCCATCCGAAGAACTTACGTCCCAGATGCCCAAGTTCGCTGGGAGGTAAATTTGTCTATCCATATATCCATTGGAGTACAATTTATAAACAACCATAATTGAAGCTATGCTCTATTTATTATTAAAATTTATTTATGCAAAAAACGTGTCGGTTGGCTATGAAGTATGTTTTTTGTGCTGAAGACTCAAGTTTAACGGACCTTTCCAGTATAGCCCCGCCCCTTGGATATTGTTGCTAAGGTCCTACAAAACATTTAGGGGACAACAAGCGTGCTTGTTAGACACATGTGTATTCGGCCCTGTTCTGATTGGTTGGTTGTAAAGTTTAAAAAGTCCATTGCTCTGCTCTCCAATAAACCACATGTGAGAGTTAGGTGAGAAAGAAAGATGTTAAAGGAAAAGCACTTCTTCAGTGAGAGAAATTCATTTTTCATTCTTCATATTTGTGTCATTTTTTTTAAACTTGAAGGTTGACTTTCCAAATTATGCGCCAAAACAGTACACACACCAATCCGTTCTTGATATGCCTCACTGGGCAGATATTGACTTGATGGCCATGTCAAAGGATAAACGACCCATGTTACAATTTAACAATGAAGATGTAAAATGCAAGGTGGATCGTAGAAGTCATGTCCAAAACTATGTGGTTAAAGATGGACTGCCATTGTAAGTAATAAAGTCTAACTTTATTTCAATTATATTTCATCATCTTCATTAGGAATTGTCAGTCTAGATTGATATAATCATTTGTAATGTCTTTCATTTCAACATAATTTACCTATAGCATGAACTAATTGGTGATCCGCTAACGTTAGCGGATCACCTCTTGTTATTGTCAGGGATCATCATCTTTTTATTCTTCTTTCTTTCTCCCCTTTTCTGTTCGCACGATATCTCAAAATTGCCAAGAGTTACGCACACGGTCGCTACATCGATCATTTTGCCTTCGCCTGGAATAGTCATGGTAAGGTTTTCAACGCGCTCAGACATGCGTGACGTCATCTACGTGCAATTTTGCGTTTTTACATTATCGATCATATCAGCCTAACCAATTGCCATTTCGAAATCGTATTAAGTGAGCATTAACTTCGGGTTAACGTTGAATGTACTGTACCCTAATTGTACGCATGCGCTTCACTACGCGCGCGTACGCTAAAATTTCAAAATGCTCGAAATCACTTTTTAACTAATTTAGAGCACGTTTCAGGCCATTTTGAGCATTTCAAATTTTTTTTAAATTTTCCACTACGCGCGCGCATTTTTGTTAGCGCAGCACGTAC